TAAACTTTTTCCTTTGTGTTGGAGCGTACATAGTTGAGCTGGTGGGATAGAACCCCTCTCTCAAATTGTGCGATTAAAACTCTTTACGTAGTCTCGAATAACCATCTAACCATCTAGAATATTTTAAACTTTCAAAATGGAAGTTAGAATTATGTAATTAGGAATTTTATCGATCCAAGACATCAAAGATAGATGAACTATCAATCCATGACCAGAAAGATGAAATGCATTGATAAGTCCGTATTTAGACACACATTTGATGCGTGTTCGGGTCGGATCGATTTTGATGGTTTTCCTAGCTTTAAGGTGTTGGAAGTCTCAATTTTGGTTCAAGTTGTGTTTAGCAGGCGTTGGATCGAGTTTCGTTGCAATTGGAGTTGATTTGAAGAAGTTGGAGTCCGGCAATCGGTGCTTGAGAGGCATTCGGGAAGGATTTGAAGGCATTCAAGAAAGATTTGAGAGATTTGGAGGTCACCGGGAGATTCACGACGAAATTCTAATGAAGATAGAGCATTTGGATTGATCTCGTTTGCATCCGGGAGTGTTTGGAGCAAGAAAACGAAGAAAAATATGAAGAATAAGGTCAGGCACGGTCGTGCCGGGAGTTAGGCACACCGTGCCTGGACACGAATTATGGGCCTCTTCCGCAGACACGGTCGTGCCTGGCCACGATTGGTCCTAATTCGACCCAAATTCGTTGTTTTCTTTAAATAAGGCCTCCATAACCCCTTTTGGGGGGTTACGAACTTTGTGGAGGCCTAGGACGAGTTTTACCTACATTTTTACGTTGTTTACTTCGAGACCCTGGAATTCTTTGTAAGTTCAATTCTTTTAATTAATGACAATTTATTCTATTTTTCCCAATTCTTTTGATTCGTCAATTATGAGGCGTGAGTAGTTTAATTAGGGATTTGAGGTTGATGAAGGGGTTAATCATGATGAATGGCTAGATTCTTTTCGGCTTAATTGCATGAATGCCGTTTAATTTGTGTTTGAATAATTTAACTGATATCTCTTGTAACCTAGAATCGCGACTAGAATTACAATTGCATGTAGAATGAATTAAGAGAGATCTCATTTGTTCTAGGACACATTTACACACACTTAATCGTTCGCTAAGAGATTAGTAGTGATTAAGGGGCCGTAAGCTCGCTCGTCCTGGTAATAATTTAGGATTCTGTCGCATGAGAGACCAGCCTGGTCCCTAAATTATTGTACTCTACGCCGCGAGAGCGGTAAGAACTTAGTAATGATTAGCTAGGCTCAATTAAATTAAATTCATGTAATTAGACCTGTTCTGTCAGAAATCTGGTTAACCCCGGAATCAATTCCTGTTCCCTTCGTCGTTAATTAAGGAAAAACCAATCTTTTTACTCGCTCATTAGCATTAGTTTTATTTTAATCAATCAACCAATCTCGCACAATTGCATTTTATTTTATTTATTTCTTTTTAATCGCTGAAATTTAATTAATCTTTATTTCCCTTTTGTCCGTCCCTGTGGAGACGATACTTGTACTTTCCACCACTTTTCTACAACTATTTTAAGTGTGAGAAAACACACATCAGTTTTTGGCACCGTTGCCGGCGACGGTGTAGGATTTAAGGGATAAATTTTAGCGACTTGTTTTAGTTTTTCGTAGGATTTTTGTCTGCTAACCTTGCAGGTTAGATCTGTTTATGCATACACGTTCAAAGAAGGGATTTTTCGTAGGATTTTTGTCTGCTAACCTTGCAGGCTGGATCAACACGTTCAAAGGACATAAGTTGTCTTGAATTTTATTATCTTTAAGTATCATTTAAATTTATTAAATTAATAACCTTTTGTGAAGATAAATTCATCAAAAGTAGCAATTGAATTTATAAAAAATTAAATAAATCAAAACTTTTAGAACTTTAGGTATTTGATTGATAGTTTTCAATCGCATCCTATAATTCATCTATCTGCCACATATAACGTGCATCCTATAATCACATCCTATACTAACACATATCATTTTTCAGTTTCCATATTTATAATTCGTTTATCTTTCAGGGTCTGTATTGATGAAATTTATAATTAGTACAATCATCACCTCTTTTATGTATATTAATAAAGTAGTTGAAAAAATAAAGATTATTCTTGAGATTTGAGTAACATACACTGAAATGCTATAAATCACATATTTTTTTCAAAAAAGGAACATGACACTAATTTTAGAACAATCCAAATGAAAAGTAAAATTGGACCAATGGAGTAATTAAATCCTATGCTTTCTATTGCATTTTACTTTTATTCTCAAACATCGTCAATTTTCACTCTGAAACACCTTTTCTATAATCACTTAATTTTTTTCAAGTGCAAACAATCTTCAACACTATGAATTTTGATAGCTGTTGCGTCAACTTGTTAAAACTATACCATAAAGTGCTTTAGGAATTTAATACGAAGTACGAAATAAAAATTATGAATGAAGCATCTTCCATGATTTGATCGAGCACAGTACCACCATTGATATTTAAATTTCCAAGTTGCACAAATTTATCCAGGACTTACTGAAATCGAGCTCTCTTTCCGCCTCTCATATGGCTGTAGATTGAACAGGATCTGCTGCTGAAAAATCCTGAGCATCACCAGGGCCTTAATTCGGAGGTCCCGGTTCACAATGGAAAATTGAGGCCCCTATAATGAAAAAAAAAAATTTAACCATGAAATACAAATACATTAGACAGTTCAATAAAACATTTTTATGATGTTTAAAGTAAACAAAATAGAGAATATAAAGTTATATACTCCGTACCTTGAGTTTATATTCTTGAACAATACATAACATCTAGAAAAATCAATCTATAACCAATACTCCATCCGTTTCGATTTGTATAACACAGTTTGACTTGTCAAGAATTAAGGAAAAAAATTTACTGAGAGGGGTAAATTTTACTGTTTTGACACTGTTTGACACTGTATGAACACTATTTGACACTGTTTTGCACTGTTTTGGTAAAGATTTATTTACCAAATAAGGAAATAAGGAAGTGTGGCATTCATTTTTAAACGTCCAAAAAGGAAAGTGTGTCAAACACCGAAACGGAGGGAGTACTACATTCACATTTTTTGGAGGCCTCCTACAAGAGTGGATCCCGATGCCAAACACTTATTGCACATCCTAAAAGATGATTCTGGTCATCACTGGTCTGGATTACATTTTCTAACAATGAAGATGACATTTTTGTGTCCATTGATATGATATTGATTATTATTCGATTATGACATTTAGTACTTACACAGTTAAGGTAGATTCTATGGTACCCTTAAGGTACCATACCTTTGTCCACATGAACCAATGAGAATGATGCAGTTGAATTAATTAAATCTAAATTAAAAGGAATAGAATGATTGGGATCAATCAAATGCATGATAGGTACGGTACCCCAATTTTTAAAAGGGTACCGGAGTTGTCACCAACAGTTAAATGGTGACTGTATAGTTTCATGATGCTAGTGTATTGGCAGTATCACAAATTAAATACTCCCTTTGTCCCATAAAATTTTGTCATCTTTCCTTTTTGGGACGTCCCAAAAAACTTTGTCATTTTCCCTTTTAAATCAATTATTTTGTGGTTTCTGTTGTTTTTCTCTCCTCTGCATAAACCTCAACTACACTTTATTATTCTCCGTGCTGGTCAAACTTGGCAAAGTTTTAAGGGACAGAGGTAGTACCATAATCAGCGGCGGACGCAGGAATTTCCGGTAACAGGGGCGGCAGTACAAAAATATACATACAAATACATATACATTAAAAATTTCGGGGTAAATATACCTAGATTTTTTTTTGGAGGGGCAGCCGCCCCCCTTTGTCATCCCCTGTGTCGGCCGCTGACCATAATATTGGCATTATTAATCATTAGTGCTCGATCGTGGGCGGAAGTTTTGGCATTTTGAGTTGGTAAATTTAGGAACTTTATCAGTTTCTAATCCCTTAGGCTGATTGCAATGGAGGGGGTGAAAACCCCAAATGTGAGGTTTTCACCCCAAAAGAGCTGCAACGCAGAGGTCTTTTAGTATATGGGGGTCTCATAGCCAATACAGAGAACTAACGGGAGGGGTTTTTGAGCGGATGATTGACTCTCTTGCAGAGCATAGATACACAGGTGGGCTGACTTTTGCAGGAGAAAAGCATGGTCCTAGTTGGTGCGTGGGACTGACGTGCTCCATTCACTGTGGAGAGAATAGGATGCACGGATGATGTTCACAACTAAGCAAAATTAAATTGCCAATATTTTAAAATCCCACTTTTTAAAAAAAATAGTATAACTTTTTTATTTATGATTCAATATTTTCAAATAATATGTCAAAATTCATAACTTTTCATGATCTTTCATATGACACCAATATCATATATATAAAGTTAAAAAAAATATATGAAGTTTCATCTGGTTGAAATCTATAGGTTGAATTTTTTACTAAGTAGATCCAAATGTTAAATTCAAGATCTCATTAATAATATTTTTTACATCTTTTGGTTATGTTTTACAAAGTAGGTTTGAAACTACAAAAAAAAAATGATCCTCCAAAATTATTTATTTTTACATCATAATGTTTGACTTTTTAAATTATAATTATTCATAAAAATAAATATTGATAATTTTTTATATAATAATAAAAAAAGATTTAATTAGAAAAGAAATACGCTAAGTAAATATATTGACGGTGATGGATTGCAGGGAAAAACTTGATTGATTGGATGAATACGTATAAACGGGAGGGAGATTAGATTTATTGACGGGCTTGGATTGCGGTTAGCCTTACGAACACAGCAGAAGTTACAATCTTTTTTTCCAATTTAACTTTCATCTATTTCTATTTAGGTCTTTAAGCCTTTGATTTATCACCATTATCTGCTTCTTGGAACGAAAAACAGTTTTAAAGGAAAAACACCACCATGTTTTGAATATTACAACAATATAATTCGTTTAATTTATTAAGAGAGTTATAAATTCCTATTAATAAACTTTTAATTGAATCAACTGAATCTGTCACGTGAACAAAATTCAGCCCTCACCAAACGGGGAATAAAATCAATAAACTTATAAACGGGCTGGGACTCGCTCAACATGGCATAGTATGTCTATTACTACGTATTAGACAAATTGTATGATACCGTCAAGGTATCATACCTAATTGTACACATGGATCAATATGAATATTGCAATATAAATTAATGTTGTATTAATGACTTGGATCAATAAAATGCATGATATGTACGGTATCCTCATTTTTTATAGGTACCGTATGTAGCATTCACTCTACAATTATTCTTGGGTAGAATATGTCTCCACAATTTGTTTCCCGTGCTTCTTCAGAAGATGGAGCAAGAAGGTCAAAATGGTCTTCTTCTGGCCATCGCCAAGATTATGTAGCATCATTGTGATTGATTTTTTCTCTACCAAGAGAGCTTTTGGAGAGTTAATATTTAGTCGGGACATTGCAACCTTAATCCACTCCTCTACTTCACTCTTTGTAACGAACTGATTATAGAGTATTTCTTTCACAGCCTTAGCGGCCTCCTCTTCAGCTCCTTGTATGATAAATGTCGCACCTCTAAGATCAGCACCTAATTCACATACCTGCTAAATCATATTTAGTTGATTTTGAGACGCACATGTATATTAGTGAGTGTAAGTGTAATTTGCTCATATGTATAAAGGGTGCAACTTAGATGAAAAGTGAGAAATCATAAACATTTTACATTTATTTGAAAAGGAAGTGAAGATTTCTTGATTTAGTGGCCTATATTATTATGTTTGTATCCATTGCTAGTCCTTTAGTTTTACTTGCTAACAAATCAATTATAACTAAAATGTTTTGCTCCTTTAAAAAAAACTAAAATATTTTGATTCATTAATAACTTTTCTGTCAAATGTATCATATATGCATGGCAATTGGCAAAAAGCACACCGAAATGGTTAACGTCGACATGAAATTTACCCAAGTAGTACATTTATGTCGAAAAATTATTAGAGTGTTGGATCGATTCACCCCTTGTCGACAAACTTCCCAGTGGGTCACCCATCCCTGGGCTTTCTTACCCCGGACTCGCTTAACTCCAGAGTTCTATGGTTAAATAGCAGCCATATCTTTCTTAAAACTAATTGGTGATAAGGAAGTGGACACCCTCTATTTAACTCATTACTCTGTAGTTCCCAAGTCAAGGTAGATTCCTGTGGGGCACCCCCCACAGTTCACTACGGCAGTGCAGAGCCCCACTACTGAGCGGTGGATGGACATGAGGGGCTACACCACTTTGTGGTGCCAACAGGTTGGGCGGTTAAGCCCTGAATCAAAGGGTGGTGCTGATCTCCCATAAGACCAACAATCACCCCCCCAGCACCAGCCGAGAGATTCACCTGTGACCTCGCTCTGATACCACTTGTTGGATCGATTCACCCCTTGTCGACAAACTTCCCAGTGGGTCACCCATCCCTGGGCTTTCTTACCCCGGGCTCGCTTAACTCCAGAGTTCTATGGTTAAATAGCAGCCATATCTTTCTTAAAACCAATTGGTGATAATGAAGTGGACACCCTCTATTTAACCCATTACTCTGTAGTCCCCAAGTCAAGGTAGATTCCTGTGGGGCACCCCCCACAGTTCACTACGGCAGTGCAGAGCCCCACTACTGAGCGGTGGATGGACATGAGGGGCTGCACCACTTTGTGGTGCCAACAGGTTGGGCGGTTAAGCCCTGAATCAAAGGGTGGTGCTGATCTCCCATAAGACCAACATAGAGCATCTCGAATGGTAAAATGTGCACGGTGCACACGTGACATGAAAAATAGCCACATAAATATTACTCCACAATGTCAAGGAGACCATCTAGATGTTGACATTGTTGTTGACATTGCAAGGAAAAACTTACCAAAATTGTATAAAATCATTCAAATAAGGAGAGGGATAATTTATATGCTAATATTTATGTGGTTATCACTCATGTCACATGTGCACCGTGCACATTATCGCATTGGAGATGCTCTTAATATATACAAATTTATCGGTTAAAGAACATGATGGATCATGGATGAGTAAAGTAATCACTACAAAAAAAACTCAAGATTGACATGGATTTTTGGTAGGGATTTTCTGAATTTGGCAGGTATTTTGGCAGAGATATGCCAAATTTGTGCCAAAAATAGTTTGGCACGAGCTATTTGGCATGAAATTTTTGGTAAATTCATGTCCAATCCGTGTCAATCCCGTAATTTTTTTTGTAGTGAATGTGATTAATAATGGGCCGAGTACATGCATAAGTTATGTTATAGAACTATTTAGTTTAAATTTATCTAAGATAAAAAGTAACTTATGCAAGGAAAACTGTTATTATAATTTTTCAGGCATACCTTTGCTTTATTTCATATAAAATGTAAGAAGAATAGAAGATGTAAGGGTAATAGTCCAATTTCAGATAAAAAAATACGTACATAGTATATGTTTATGAAAATGCGAGCATCATTTTGGATATGCTTAAAAACTGGACCTGGACCTGGACCTGGAAGACACTCCACCAAATGACCCAACTACGGTCAATCTAGGTCCATCAGGTCAACACTGGGAAATTCAGTCAATAATGATAGTACATTCGTCTCATTCAAAAGTTCCCATACGAAATGACACGATTATTTATGACAATAGTTAAATATGTTAATTCGAATATATTTTGAGAAATAGTTTTGATGGGTATATAATAAATTGAATTATCGATGATAATTGTAATGTTATATACTCCGTACTATGTATGTATTCTTTTCAATGTAATATAATTATGATTAAATTATAATTTTAGAGTGTGAATTGTTTTCTGAAATGGAAAATGAGAATCTTTTAGTTAAGACATCCAAAAAAAAGTGAGAAAGTTTGAATGCGGCGAAGAGAGTACTAGTAATACATATGTAGTATTACCTCCGTCCCAATTTGATGTCAAAAGTTCCTATTCACTTGGTGAACTTAAATCATTCTTAATCTTTTACTTTATATATCAAAATTTTATTAAATTTAAATTATTTTTTGTAGGTTTTGTAGAAGTTTTAGCGTAGTTTCTGAATATGTAATTTTTATTCGTTACAAATAATATGAATGCGAATAGAAACTCATTTCATTATCGCCGGTCAAACATCGTAAACCGCAAGGTGAACATCAAATTGGAACGGAGGGAGTAGTTGTTATATTTAGTGTACGTATACAATATAATTTGACATGACACATGATTTAAATCATCTGGAAACGGGTTTTCTTGGTCATTCAACTTTTTCAGATCCGGGTATGGATAAGATTTTTTTCCACTTATTTATGGGGTTTCCATGAACAAAACCAGTTTTTGGTCAGGATCTGTGACACCGCGCCCGTATGTACTTGAATTTGAAATTCGACATGTAATTGAATTTTCCAAGCGAATAAATTCGTGTGACAGAATGGGTACATTTAATTAATACACGATTAATTAAATTATTTATCGGGTCCAGTATATGCGAATGGGCTACCAAATATTTAGTTGGGTCATCATGATAATGATAGGAGCCCAATAAAGTGCCAACCGAGTTGATAAAAATGTTTGGACAACCCGAGTGCTATTTTGACCCAACCTGCTAAAAATACAAGGGATAATTGGGAGGGACTTTCTACACCCACTTGAGATACTCTATCAGTCAAATAACTCCCAAAATAATTGGGAGGAGACAAGTTAGCATGGTTTGGGGCGGACTTATGTGAGAGGTGATGTGCAAGACAAACACCCACACCCCTATGTCCCCATTTGCTCACTCATTGGGTGAGTGATTGAAGAGGAAACTCACCCACTCTCTTGCAACCATTCGAACAAGCTAAGGGAGATGAGAGCTCAAGGGAAAAGTCTTCACACCATCCATAGCTTGAAGGAAGCATCAACAAAGGAAATCCAAGAAGAAAAGGGTTGTGTTGAGGTAAGAACTCAACAAACAATCTCTTAACTAGTTTTATGGTGTATGATTTTTAAGAAATCATATGGTGGATTAAACCATGAGTTCTACACGTTTAAAAGTGTATTATATTGTTATAAAGTGGTGATAATTAACTTAGAAGAGTTGGTGAATCGATAGGAGTCGAAATCGTCGGAAACCGCCACTTTAAGGGAGCTGTTCGTAGCTGCAGACCACGAAAGCCGCCCACCTTTCACGAAAGCCGCCCGGCTTTCATCTGCTGCCCAGATTTTTCATCTCCAATTGGTTTAGAACGGGGATTAATCGGAGGGCTTGACAAAGGCAACTATTTCAGCACATCATAAGGTGAGGATGGCTGACTATGTTGCTTATAATCTTTGGATTAATTTCGTAGGATTACCTAAAGTAATTAAATGTGATTTTCATGGATTATTAATGATTAATAATGCCTAAATGAAAATATTGTTGTCAATGAATAAAGGAGCATAATATACAAATTTAAGGATAAATTATGTATGATTATGTAATATGAGCATATTGGCTTGATGAAGGTATTAATTATAAATATTGTGTTGAAATATAACTTTAACTTCATATAAGGATACATGAGTGATTAAAGGTTATATTTTGTATATTGATATGAACTATATTTTCAATGGGAAATTAGTTTGGAAATTGTCTATATGACTATGAATTGAAAATGAGTTTTGTTGGAATTTATCCGACTAGTATTATGATACTAGTCGGGGTTTTGGAATGAAATATGTTAGAATTGATCCACGGTTTGGATTGTAAATTGTTGAGCCTTAAGTAGTCTTAAGAGATACTAAGGTGGATAAGTGATGCTGGGGGTAGGCCTTAAGGGATACCCAAGATAAAGTGAATAATAAATTGATCCTAGAAATAGGATTGGCCTACGGGTGTATTCGGTAGTCTTTAAGGATTAGCCGATAGAGTATTGGTAATTAGTAAGGACCATGGCCCTTCCCGACTCTAGAGAGCGGGGTTGGATAGCATGGACTTACATCGTGATCACGGGTTAGGGTGGAATCCGAACCGGAGACCTTACGAGGCTCCCGACAGCGGTAACACATAAGATAGGACCCCGAATGGACCTTACCTTCCTACGGGACGATGGGTATGAGTTCAGGGGCGAGATGTTGGACTCCGGCCCGAGAGCCCGGTGAGGCCTCGGAGAGCGGTGACAAGTCTCGTAAGGATGATAAGACCTACGGGCGGTGTCGTGTAAACGATGATTGAAATGAAATATAAGAAGGGGCCGTGTGCCGACAAATTAATTAATTAACTTATTACGAAGATAATAATGGTTAAAGAAGAACTATCATTATATTATGATATCACTCTATTTTGAGGGTCTTAGAAGTTGAAACATTGATTATATTTAGTATAGTTGTCATTGTACTTGTCAAATGCTTCCAAGTACTGACCTCCCCTTCACGGGGGAGGCCACCTCACAGTTTCAGGTAGGGAGTAAAGCTTGCTACCATCGCCCGTTGCTTCGGGGAGCTCAGGGAGAGAAGACGTGGTTCGTGTTTCCTCCGTTCTATTTTTAAAACATTAAATTAATGCTCATGGATATTGTTTTGAATAATTATTTGGGGCTTGTACGCCCATGTTTGCCGAAGTGTGGCATAAACAC